TTAAGTTGTATCGAAATCCAGAAAGAAATTTCGAAGGTACAATTTCTTTCAGGGGGTTTCTCAGAGTAGGGGTGAATATTAATGGGATATTACGGGAGATATAATTTTTGCGTGAAAGGTCAAGTAAAGATGCTTACTTTTCCAACCCCCAGGTGGCCCAAAACTTTCCTTTTGGAAATCTAAGGTGGACTATACTCTCATAATTGGATATCCCACGAGATTGACTGCAAACTGTCCAGATACATGTAGCAAAGCCAGGTCCATCAGTCCAAAAGATTAGACACCGGACATATCTGTTATACCCAACAAAAAGACAAAGATGCGGACCAGCATAACCAATGTAAGCTCCGTGCTTCACTGTTCTTCTGGTCCTTTTTCTTTGCCACCCGCCTTCTTTTTCCCTCTCTTATTGTACTCCTCCTTGGTCTCTTCCATAGCAAGCCCACCTTCTTCACCGGCCCAATGTTGCCTCTGCTGGGTGGTCCCTCCAGCAATGTGTTTTTGAGAAGAACAAGTTTAATTCTGTCAACTTAATTTGGATACTTGAATAAAGCCTCAACTTATGCAATACTAAGAAATTTGCATAAATCTCAAACTGGTCCTGGATCATTGCAGCTTTTGTTTTTTTTATACATGTCGCTCCACAAGCGGTTAACAGGTACGCCTAGTTTTCAGCCCCAAGTTAACCCACTCAACCCTGAAAAGTGCATTGGAGATCATCTTTTTTACAATTTTTCAGTTTTTCTCTCTTTTTGCCCTGTTTTACCTTGGGTCAAGGTCTGTGTGTGCCAACTTTGGTGTTTGTTGGGGTCTTGGAGTTGACTGTTTTGGCTAGCCCTTGAAAGTCCTGATTTTTTTTTTTTTTCAACTGACCCTTATGGTCCTGGCTCCATATCCATTCTGGGGAGTGTCAGTCCGGTTCCTATTCCCCCGGCAAGTCAAAAATTTGATATATCATAGAACACGCTCACGCTTCCTTCCGTCTGGCCAAAAGAACCCTGACCAGCATTGACAGCTCCTTACAGGAGGATTGACTGTCAACTTGCCTTTCCCTGAACTCCCTCTCATATTCCCCTATGGAAACCTGTTGGATAGGCTATAATCAGCTAGGAGAACTAAGGAGCAAAAATGCTTCCACATGAAACTGAAGGTTGTTGTTACTCCTTATGTAACCTGTGGATCCTGTGGGCCATGCATTGAGTGAAATATTGAGCTTCTCCCGCTCGTCTCCGATTGTGCCAATTTTTCCATCGTAAGTTGGAGTCTCTCACCTCTGCTATTTTCCCCCCTACCAGCCAGACCTTGACGAACTTGGAGAGGATACTGCACTGTCGATCTTCATCTTTAGGCATGGAGAGCCTTGTCTTGTGCCATCTGCATAGGATGTCTGCCTGCATCAGGATCCTTGTCTCCACCCAAACCTTTTCTCTCGGAGTTGATAGTCCCTCGATGGTTTTGCTGCATCTCTCCTTCCAGATCAACCAAAGTGTTACTTTTCTGATCATGCCATACCATATCCTCTCAGCGTTGTTGAAATCAGTAGGAATGTTAGTGCAGAATAGAAGTAGGAGCCGTGAGCTGATGTTACGATTGGGTAGGATGTAAACACCGCAACGGTATTCGATCCTTGTTGTTTGTGCGAGAACTCATATGCTCTCACGGAAGGGTGTTCCTATATCCCAATTCGACACTCACCTGTTTTCCATGTTGCAAATCCTGAAAATCCTGAAAACTAAAAAGACTGAATTTTGCATGGATACACACTTTTCCCTTGGGGTTTAAACCCGTTTTGATTTTTTTTTGTATTTTTTTTTTCGCGTTGTCAGTTTATTTGGTGTCCACTTTATAGATTGGTGACAAGTCCGCCTTAAAAGGTGTGGGACGTTTGTTATAATGACCCTAAAACAATCCTGAAATTTTGGGGCTCTGTCTCACATGTCGATGTGTCTAATGTATATTTTTTAATATACCATCTTACATATTTACTAACATAACTAACATTATCTGTGTCAACAATTTTCGGAGGAAAAGAGACGCAGTATGACATGAAGAAGAAAAATGGAGTGGTCTTTGAGAAGAAAATCCCAGCCGAAAAAGAAGTTACAAGTTTCATTAACACACTCCAGGATGTCTTCAAGTTAACGTTGGCAGATTGGAACAGAGTTGCAGCAACAACATTGTAAGTAGCCCGTATTTCCCCAAACAGCGAAATTGTACCTGCACTGCCATTTGCTTCAAAATCAATACGTTGCTTGGCTGATCAAATCTGTTCAGAAAGTTGTTTGACCACGTAGGGATGCAGATGCTGCAGCGGGGTGCAGGGTGCATTTTTGTCCTTTGGGCACAGACCCTTTCCAGATCTAGTAGCGAGCCTGGTCCGCCGGTTAAAGCTTTAAGCTCTGATGAAATTCCAAAAAAGATTCCCCGTATGTTTGCCATTCAGGAAGACTGTTTGAAAAGTGATGATGATGCTCATGTCATTTTTAAGATTTCATTGCCAATAGTTCCGTTTTCACACCCAAGTCTGTCCGAGTTTGTTTTCAGTCTGCTTGAGTCTGTACG